CTTTAGTGGTTCTGGAATTTCTGATTAGAGGAGTTAATACCTTCCACGGATTTATCTAGAGAAACCATTGGAAACTTTGTATGAAGTTTAGCCCCTTTCAGAAACTACCCATGGGAACTTCAGTTAAGAGTACTTCTGACCCCTTTGGGTTTGACCCCTATCAGAAATATATAGTTTTTGAAATCCTCCCCCTCAGAAATTATAGGCCTTCAAGGGGGGGAGGGGGGAGAGGGGGTGGGTGTAGATATCGAGTGGAGCGGTTCATTTCATTTACATACCAAAAAGCAATATTTTTATCTTACAGTAAATAACTAATAAATCTAGACAACTCTTTTACCTTCACAGGCGTAAAACGTTTTGGGTTCGTTCCCTTTACATAATCTGTGCATAGCTTGTATACATATTGAGGGAGGAACGTGTCCTTTGATGATTGAGCCACCCAAACTGCCTTGGATTTGCTAGTTAAAGCATGGATTATGGATCCGTGGTTGCCAAGCTGGCGGTTGGTGAGGAAGAATCTCCTAAAAAATTGTTTTATAGTATATTTGTCTGGGTAATCAAATGATTTTTCTCCTGCGATTTATAATAAAAAGGCACGAGTAGATTTTTTGAAAGGCTAACAACATTGCATGAGCACGTAGGGCGAGTGCAATCTGTGGTATTTGAAAAAATTTTACAATTGCCTATTTATTCCAAATTGCACGAGAAAAATCATGTGATAATGTACATGATATGATAATATACATGATAATACATGATAATATACATGAAAAAATATGAGGCAGCTTATCATAATCATTCAGAAGAAAGCGCGCGCGCAGTGCAAAAATATATGGACATTGACATTGACCAATTATACTGACCAATCAGAATGTCCGGTTTGTTTCTTTCTTTGCACTGAATTAAACCCATTGTGCACTGAATTACATTCAAACCTCTCTTAATTGGGCCTCTATTCAGCGGTTACCCTTTATTAAAAAGGAAACTTATCAAATTTCCAAAATGTAAACTTGAACTCAATTAAGCGGTCACCTCTATTAAGTGGAGGCGGTAACCATTTAGAATTCCCAATTGGCTAATTTTTATTGTATTTCACCTCTATTAAGCTGTCACGTAGTCAATTACAATGCGTCATTTCAGGATATTTTGACACAATGATACGCACATCATGTCTAGTTTCTTTCAACAGCTCATACAGAACAACATGATATACATAATAAACTAATAACAGTGGTTTTGTTTGGGCTAATAGACCTTCGACGGCCCACCGCAGTGCACGTAAAATTCTATTTATTAACTTCGCTTGCAGCCAACCTAAAGAAAATCTGCCACCTTTAAAGATACATCCGCCAGGAACCTCGAGAACGTAGCGACCTCCTCAGTTTACCTGTTTGCTCGTTTACCCTTGATTACTTTTGCATAGTTCGTAGGCCTCTTTAGAAACTCGCTAAACCACGTAGCCTTATTAAACATGTTTCAATTATACTACATTTTGGGAAACCTCTCTTATGCGGTAAATGTCTATGAAGGAGGGAGGCATTGAGATTTTCGTTTCTGCGGTTTTGGCTGTTTTTTGGATCGGTTTTTAGGTTTTTGTGCGAAAAAAGTTCGCTTTTTCGGTTTTGATTTTCAGAGCGGTTTGCGGATTTTACGTGTTTTTGCGTTCGGTTTTCGGTTTTTGCGAAAACTCTGATGCGGTTGTCGTTTTTTTCTTTTTGACCCCTTTGGAGGTGAAAATGTAGCGGTTTTGTCAGGTTTGCACGTGGTTTTCGGTTTTGCTTACATTTTTCGTCGGTTTTCCGCTTTCCCAGAGAACCCAAGCCCCCCTCATTAAGTGGTAAGTTGGCTCATTCCGG